ATGATGAAATTTTGTATGTCGAAAAGTTCATTTGAGGTTTTGTTATAGTCTGTTACAAGAATTAATAGAAATTATTTTAAAGAAAAGGACATCATATAAATGTTTTAAACTTTAAAATAGGTTGATGATTAAAATAAAAAAAAATAATTATTTATTGTAAACATATTATGAAAACCCTATTTTTTTACGATCCATTAGCTTTCTACATTTTTTGTAGAGCTTTTCAATCTTATCTCCTATTGTCCAACTTTTCAATAAGAAGTCTGTTTGAAAATTGGCTCCACAATTAGTGAATCCCAGCTGGAATTTACAGTAAAATATTCCAAAGTGCAGTTTAAGACAAAGTCCTGTTTTTCATTTAAAAAATTGTTGAAAACTTTTACGAGCAAAAAATCGATATTGAATTTGATACAAACTTAAAATTAAGTTAGGTTTAAGGCAACGGAAAAGTTATTCTCTTAAAAATAGCAGGATATTTATGAGAAACTTAATTAAAATGAGATTGAAATATTGCTGGAGATACCCGACTTGAAAGTTTCTGGAGATAGAAACCTACGTTTTACTTTAAGCTTAAATGAAAATAAGGTTTAATTTTATTTGGTTCTTTGTTAAATATTATAAAAAGATCTTTAATATATATATATTTTTTTTTTTGATTTTTTGATTTTTTGATAATAAACTATTTTCTATAATGGTCAAGTTAAAAATTTATATAATTTTATTTCGTGTTTTGGTCAGGCAAATAATTTTGAAATCATTTTTTACGCTGAATAGCCTATCTAATAATCTAAATATTGTAACAAATTTTTTGAACATTCTTAACATTTAAATCTAGGATAGAAAATTTATCAACATCTACGCTAGAAACTAAATTTTGAATCTAAGTTTAAATTAGATGAATCTAAGTTTTTATAAGAAGGACTTAAGATTTTTGTTTCCTTATTATTAAAAGTATTAAAAATTGGTCATAAAAGTATTTCTAGAAGTATATTTTTGTTTATATGTAAAGATTTAAACCGTGATTCTGGATAAGAGTTATTGTTTTACCCTTAAAAAATATAAGGGTAAAAAGTCAAAAAATCTTAGGAATGAAAATGATAAAATGTTTGCCTAACAATTTTGTTATAATGCAACAAAATTCATGCTAGTAGTTCTGTTAACTTTTATTTTTCAAATAACATTTTTTGTTTCCTCACCATTTTAAAAAGAGTAACTCTTGTTTACAAAAATATCCATTTTTTAGAGTTTATGTGCGTTTTTTAATATTTAAAGTTTATCTTTTAATTTAAAAACTTCATGGCTTTTATATTTTTGGGTTTCAAGATCATATCCAGCAATATTTGGATAGGGTTCAGAATCGTACTCTGTACGCAGTCAGGGTCAGGGTTAGGGTCAGGGTTAGGGTCAGGGTTAGGGTTAGGGTCAGGGTTAGGGTCAGGGTTAGGGTTAGGGTTAACCCTAACCCTAACCCTAACCCTGACGCACGTTCAACTGTAACTTCTTTTATGTTTAGACTGTTTTCAAATACTTTAATTTGTTAACACTTTTAAGTTCTATTTTCATTGATTCGTTTACCTTTAACAGAATTTTATACAACTCTTTTACAGTTACTATTTATGCCATCATACCATTTCTGTCGTTAGATAACACTGAATTACAAAATTTAAGTTTTAAAAAAATTAATGAATGCCAATCATGATTTTCTATTGATTTACCTAACTGCATGTTAACACATTAGTTATTATTCTTCTTCATTCAAATAGAATGACAAACCTCTGGTAATTTTATTCTCCTTTACATCATTATGTTTTTTTTTGCATTAAAATAGCTTCTTGATGAATCATCATGATTTGTTGTTGAGTGAATCATCCTGAGCAATTGGGCGTCCTAAGATTCAACCGAATCCTTAATTTCAATTTAGAACCGAATATGGGAAATTTATTACACAACCGAAAATATTTACAAAAAAAATTAGAACTGAAAAAATTTCAATCGAATTTTCGATCGAAAGTCATTAATGATTTTAGAACCGAAAAAATTTTGATCGAATTTTCGATCGAAAGTCATTAATGATTTTAGAACCGAATTTCTTTAAAATGGTTTACAACCGAAAGTTACACTGTTATCAAAGGCGATGAGGGAAAACGAAGAATAATGAATGAAAAGGTTGCTGACCCATACCAAACCCTCAGTCAATGTAGCAGCACTCCACTGCGAGTCAGGCTATTTGTCAGTCAATGTATGTACTGAAGCCCCCAGCAGCAGGCTATTTGACGTTAGGTGAGTATGACATCATCATGCTCACCTAACTCAGCAGTATAAGATATATGTATATATATTTTAAAGAAATTTTAATTGTTTATTTTATTGTAAAACGACTAACTGAAAAAAAAAAAAATATTTCGGTTGTGAAATATTTCTGTGATATTTTCGAGGATAAATATTTTCAGCTCTTTCATTTGACACGAGCAAAAAATTGTTGTATATGCGGTAAATATACAATAAAGAAATATGAACAAGCCCTCACAAGCAAAACTCAAAAAACTTAAAAAACTGTAATGTATTTGTGGTGTTGGCAAAAAGTAACATTTTTCCAAAGGTATTATTTTTTATGATCGAAGTTTTGTGTTATTCTAATGGCATTTTTTCTCTTTACAACAAATTTGGTCTGGTTTTCTCTTTTCAACAAATTCGGTACCGACTATGACATACAAGAATGGTGCTTCTTTATTAACACATCAAAATCCAGCATAAATACCGTTTTTCTTAACTTGGAACTTAGTCAAGATACACAAAACACTATTATTTTTTTAGCCTCTAGGATAATTGAAACTATTCTAAACTCTTAACAATCAAAAATTTACCACTGCACATTTTGGATATTTCTGTTACCAACCAGCAACTTTCTCTTAGTTAAAAGACAGTATGCAATGTTCGATATTCGATAGCTTCAGAAACTACAAAGTAGATAATGATACTAAAAAGTAAATTCCATTAAAAAAGTGTATCCATATAAAATATATAATCATATATAGATAAATTTATTATTTAAAAAAGACTTATTTATTATATAAAAAAAAAACTTATTATCTAAGATTTTCGTTTTTCTATAACAGATACAAATGTGTCTACTCTATTAAAATAATTAATCGTTTTACTTAATTGGTTTTTATAATTATTCAAATTTGGCTTGTGAGTTGTTGAGCAATAATAGGGTATGAAAGGTGACTTTGAACTAGGCTAAAGTAAAGCACTTTTGAACTGAAACTGCTTATTTTATGATAAGAGGAAAGCTAGTTTTACTACGGTTCAAAGGAAGCTTATAATTTTTTTTTATGAAACCTGAAGTTTTACGTAAAATATCTTCAATAATGTTAACCACAAGTACTATATTGAGAAAGACGGTATATGCACTGAGGGCATAACTTGGACGTGCATTGTGGGCACCTCCTATAATAAGTCCGCAAAAAAGATATCGTATGCGAAATAAGTATTATTGAAAACCATAGACAAAAACCTGTCTTTAGAGTATATGCAAAAAAGGGTGTGCCTTAAGTACACGTCTGCCTTACTCAAGATTTGTGCTATTAGTGGTGGGATGTGTGTGCATAGAGAGGTACTGAGTTTTCTTAACCACTGACTATTTCAGAACAATAATCTCTATAATTTTCTAAATAATTAACACGTCTTAAATAAATTCAGTCTAAAAATAAAGTGCTGATAAAAATGTCTATATGTATATATATATATATATATATATATATATATATATATATATATATATATATATATATATATATATATATATATATATATATATATATATATATATATATTTAAACATGTATATATTTATTTGAAAAATAAAAAGAGTGGTAAAAAAAAAAAAAAAATGCAAATGTATGCATTTCTGCAAAAAGATGCATATATCGTACTTTTGGGGTGAACCATATTTTGACAATGGTTTGGTAGAAGCGTAAACGCACGAACATTTAGTAATCTTAATTTTGGAAATACACTAGTTCAAATTTTTATTATGCAAAAAAAAATGTAAACATGCTATCCAATTAAAAATTTTACTTCGTTCAGTTTTTGATTACAGATAATATTTGACCTTTTTATTTAAAATCTATAAAGTTTCAAGAAAATACATAGAGGGTGCAGCTTAAACCAACATGTGTAAATTTTGTCTTGAAAAACTACGTCAACTTGACCAGATTTGGCAGAATTAAACTGTATTATGATAGTTAATCACGAGCTCTAGAACTATGGTCTTTTCAAATAACTGGAGGCCCCTGCTTTTAAACAAAGGATCTTTAGTTATAAAGACAGTTGTAACCGCAACTCAACGGTTGCATTTATATTTAAAATTTTCACATCTTATAAATGATAAAATTGGATTAAACGAACAAAGATTCAAGAATTAGCGTTCACCTCCTCCTGTCTTCATCTATTTTTCACCTCCCGTATTCATCTATTATTAATAATACTAATAGTGATGTATTACTAATTAAATTTAGTTTCATATTAACATTAATTAATATATAATTATATATTCGCATTACATATATATATGTAATGCGAATATATAATTATATATTAATTAATGTTATATAAACATACATGTATATATATGTGTATGTGTGCTTATACTAAAAGTATATATATATATATATATATATATATATATATATATATATATATATATATATATTATATATATATATATATATATATATATATATATATATATATATATATATATATATATATATATATATATATATATATATATATATATATATATATATATATATATATATGATTTTAGACAATACATGTGTTTAATAATTAAACTGGCATTACAATTTTTTTAAACATAAATAGTTAGCTTTTTTTAAACCAAAGAACTAACTTTGGCACAAAAAGGATGCATTGATTAATTTGCTTGCTGCGTTTTTAGTTAGTCATAGGTTAAACATATTTTCTAATATTTTTAGTATCCGTATATGGAATTGGAACCAGAACCCACTGAAACCTATATCGCAATACCAGAACAAACATTTTGGAATCTTTTTAATTCAGCCGAAGCTGCTCAAAAAAATACGACTACAGTTTCTCAATATGCGTGAGCACCAAGATATTTATGCTGCAAATCTAAATAAGTTTTAAAAAACTCTTAGCATTATCTTTTTTGACAAAACGAGTTTAACAATTAATTTAAATTGTTATTATTTTCTGAGAAAACTACTTTACGAATCTAATTTTTTTTTTCTTTCTGACAAAAGTACTTTAACAATTGAACTAAAGATGTTTTCTTTCACGACAAAACTACTTTTAAACTATAGATCATTTAAGTAAAAATATATAATTGTATTTCAAACAAAGTAAATAAATTAAGAAATTATTAAAAGATTAGTTATTAAGAAAGGGAAAAGTTATTATTAATACAAGTTTGTTATTTAGAAAATTATTTTTAAGAAGCAAAAATCAAAAAAATTTGATTTCAAAAAATTAAATTTTTTACAGGTACAAAAAATAAGACTTTGTTACAGATACAAAAACATTTATTTACAGGAAATTTGACAGGTGCGAAAAATTTTTCTCGTCGGTAATTATTTTAGGTCGGTGGATTTTTTATCAGAGAACACACAAAATTTTTTCATCTTGAAAAACTTTTAATACCAAGGAGCCAGATTTTTCTTATGTTTAGAGCCCTCACACACACAAGCAAGATGTTTTCAATTTTAACCTTTCTATTAGAAAAAGAATATACAGCTTACAAGATAAAAATCACGAGCCACATAGAAAAAATATTTGTAGAGTATAGAAAGCTCCTAAGCGAAAAAGTGATATGCTTTAAACAATATTAGGAGGCTTTAAATGACTAGATGGTCGGTAAAACAGTGAATAAATTAAAGAAATTAATCTAATCCTGAAAAAAAAACAAGCTCATAATGAAAGACTAGCTGTCCCGACGTAAAATAAGGGTCTTAGTATTTCTCACCAAAATACTAAGACCCTTATTTCTATACTTGTTCCTTACTTCAATAATTTTTGGTAAGCAATTGAAAAGTAACTATATGCATATAAAAAAACTATATATATTGTTTACTTTTTAAAGCTATAAATAAAAAATAATTTTCTAATAATAATTAACTTTACAAACTTTAAACGCTTCGGTTGCCGTTGGGTGGATCGTTTGTTATCAACGAATCCATAGTTAGTACCCGTCTCAATAATATTTAGAATATCCGCTTGAAATGTGTTGATTAACTACAACCGGTATGAAAAGTTTAGAAATTCTAATTACACTTTTAAAGCAATGCGTAATCTTAAACTCTCAGTAGAAATTTTAAAAAATTAAGTTACTAGTTTCTAAAAAATTAGTTTCCTACATTCTTAAATAAAATCTTAAATTCTAAAAAGAGAACACGATAATGGCCTAATTGGTAAGCGCGAAACACTTGAACTGATATATTCATCTCACCCGGGCAATTCATATCCCCCTGTGATCTTTTTTTTTCCTCCCGATTTTTACAAAATATAAATAAGAATACATGTCATTTTTAAAACAGTTTTAAACGTTTGCGGTAAACTTTAGGCGTTTTTAAGCGTTTTTTTACGTTTTAGTGTTAGTTGGAATTAGTTGCATACGCATATTTAAATTTTAATTTTTTGGCTATTTCATCTAAAAATCTACTTTAAACATTTACAATAAATTAATTTATATAAATGAAATTATAAACCCTATTTAAATAAATGTAAAAACTCTTTTTTTTATTTAAAAGAATAAATAAATGCCTGCCAGAATCACATGCTAAATACCAATAAACACATGCTAAACCCCTATAAAAAAAATTAAAGCTAAACAATAATATCTATGCTAATATTCTATATATGTTAAAATACAAAATGGGATTAGTTCCTTCACGACTTACAGAAAAGTTCTTTCATTTAAATACCAATAAAAATAACACAAGAGCAACTACCCAGCCGGCAAATAACGTTGAAATAACGTTGAAATATCGTTGAAACCTAACGTTGAATTAACGTTGGTTTAACGTTTAGAATGAAAGTTTTTTTCAACGTTGATTTGTCAACGTTAAATCAACGTTACGTTCAAACTTTATATCAACGTTGATTCGACGCGAAAAAACGTTACAATAGCGTTGAATTTACGTTGATTTAACGTTTAGAATAAAGGTTTTTTTCAACGTTGATTTATCAACGTTAAACGACTGTAAAATACTTTTTCACCGTCAAAACGTGCTATGTATGTCAAAATGTATATATGCATGTAAACGTGCTATGTGCGTCAAAATATGATCACCATCAAAACGTACTATACATGTACATTAGTGTTGCTGTAAATTATCAAGGTATATTATGGATATTTAATCTATTCATAGTCTATACTTAGACTATTTAGAACTTTTTCAGTTTAGTTTAGTTAAAATAGCTAGGTATGATTAAAGAAAGAGATAAAACTTGTTTTATTCAAAAATATATATTCAAATATTACATATATTTAAATGTAATTGAATAAAATCTACACAAATTTCTTCTCTTGTCCACCATCTTTTTGAAATAAAGCGTAATTTAGAAAGTCAAACAATGTTCCATTAACCGAGGGTTCTTTTGGTCCATTGAGTACAATATAAGAAGCTGTAAATAAAAAAATATATTAAAAAAAAACAAAAAGGGAAGATTTAAAAATAAATAATGAATAGAAAAGTGTTACAACTTATGAAGGTATATCTTTTTCAACGCCATATACATTAGTGTTCTTAAAACATACTTTCCCACTTTTGCCCTTCATATCCATAAAGGCCATATAAATTTTCGAAAATACTCTGAGTTTTTAAAAAATAATATAACTGTTAGTTGGTTATTAATAACTTTTTCAAATATTCAATTTAAATAAAACAACCTTTTTAATATATTAAAAATAAATTAATAATCAAAATATAAAACATTTCTAGCATTGAAAAATAATTTTTGGGGTGGCCACATAAAATTTTTATAAGAAATTTTATGTGGCCATTTATTAATGGTTTAACGTCCATGTTTATACACTTATGGGGTTTGGCCAGGGAACAAATAATGTCATTTGCTATGTTAAATAGCATGCATTTTCTAAAGCAATTTTTTACAATTCCATGCCCTTTAAGGCGTTAACCAGTTTTGCAGACCGAGAATGGGTATTTTGAACATTATACATCCATCAAAAATTAAAAAAGTAAGAATTAATAAGGAGCTTTGATCAAATTTTTACCTCTTTAGAGAATAATAGAGGATTTTAGGTGGTTTTAAAAAAAGAGGACTTTAGAGGATTTTAGAGGAGCTGCAGACACCCTGACTATAAATGAGGTAATTCCACCAATTAACTGTAATTGATTTGTAAAAATACATGAAATAAATCTAATATTATGCTTGTGCAGATATATTATATTGTGGAGAACCATCCAAACCACACAAGCGGAAAATTTGCATCTAAGTTTCCACTTGTGTGCAAATTTGCATCCACTTGTCAACATTCTCATTATCACATTTTTCTTTTGTAGTTGTGAATTTAAAATTTTCACAATACTGTTTGCTTTCTTTTAGAATTGAAATAGTTATACAAATAGTTATACATTTTGTATTAACAAAATAACTCTTCTTACCACATTATTTAAAAAATAATAACTGTAATATATAGATGTAATACCTGAAAAGAATTTAGTTTTTGTTTGTATAAACTTAAGCCAATTCTTCTCTACATTTTAGTGCAGTCAATGCTTTGGTACCTGGAAGCCGACAAACAGTTTTATCACTAATCCAATCAGGTGGAATTACTTCTTCTTGTAAATCTTCATTCCAAACAGCTCCGCATATTCGATTTTGAAAAAATTACATGAACTAATATAAAATGAAGAAACCATAATATAAGTGTACAAACAGGCCTAATTAAACTAGCTAAATTTGAACATTTTATAACCATGATACTTGCTAAACAATAATATTAGTAGACATTATAAGCAAAGATAAGATTTTCTTTATTATATAAATTTATCATATTTTAAACTCATTTTTATTAATTTATTCATTACTCTATTATTCAGCAGAGTTCTGAATATATTATGTTCAAATAACTTAAGGCTCAATAACAAAGACAAATAATGAAAGAATACTAGGTTGCTAAAACATAAACATCTACATAAGATAATTATGGAATATTGAAAAAAACTAGAAATACAAAAAAACAAAAATACTTATTATTAATATAAAATATAATAGTATAATATAAGGAATATTATAATATATGACACAATAATATCTAATTTTAATTAAAATATAAAAACAACAAAAATTAAAAAAGAAAATATTTTGATAAATAATAAATTATCATTCAAACAATTTTCAAGACCAAAAAATAACTTGTAACTTATTTTTTTACTTATCTTCATCTAATAAACATTACTTATTTTTTACTCGTCTTCATTTAATAAACATTAATATTAATACCAATTTTAAACATTATTAGAATTTTTTTTTTATCAAAAAATAAAAATATTGCATCAGTTACTTTTTGAGCTTTTCTTCTTTTACTTAAAACATCAACTCAATTCTAGGCTTTTTTCATTATTGAGTTTTAATTTGTAATGTTGAATTAACACTGAAAAAAAAAAAATATTAGCAGACAAAAAGAAAATATTTCTTTACTGAAATATATGTAAATATTTCAATAAAGAAATTTTAGATCGGTTTTTATAAATATAAATTTATATCAATCAATCTAAATTTTTTTCTTTTCCGCCAACTTTTCGAAATGAAGAGCAATTTTAGAAGTTATACAAAATGCCATCAATTAAAGTTTCAGTCGTTCCATCGTATTTAATAGAAGAAGCTGTTAAAAAAAAAGAATTAGAAAAAAAAAAAAAAAAAAAAAAAAAAACGAGGAGAAATTTTTGAATATATAAAAAGTAAAAATAAAAAAGTTTTACATATCTTATAAAGGTATACCTTTCACTACACCGTATAAATTAGTGCTCTTAAAGCATATTTCCACCTTTTCCCTTTAGATTCATGGAGGTCACAAAAATGTTGGAAAATATTCTAAATTCTAATAGATAAGAGAACTGATATTAATTGTGCGAAAACAAACATTAATTTTTTTTTTTAATTTAAATTGAACTCATTATCAAACAATTTTTTTGCTAAATAATTTAATCCT